AGTCAACAATGCCCTTTTTACTCATTTCTGTGCACATTTCATCCAAGGAAGTGGTGTCGGCGATGCGTTTAACACGGCATGCAGCAATCCCTACGCTGCCCCTGTAGCTAAAACCAACTCCTGCAGATGCGCTGCATTCCAAACTACATTATGGCGTAAAGTTTGTCACTTAACCCCTTAGTTCCCGTATGTTTAGCCGCTAAACATAAGAGGTGTATAGCTTCTTTCAGTTTTTTTCGGCATCTATGTTATGTTTAGCGGCTAAACATAAGAGAAAAACTGACTTGGGGTTTGTATTGAACAGATCTCAAGAGAGCGCAGGAAAGCTCAATACTGAAGTCAAGACAAAAGTGGGAGCCTAAAACGGCCGGATGCACAGGCTTAGGGTAGCTGGACCGGATTCCTGATTGAACGAGATAAAGAGAGGCGGTGTCACCCACCACCAACGGGTGGCCGACAGCCACAAAACTCTCTCATTCTTCAAAACGACCGCGGGGGCAGCAGACCAGAATGGTGGCGACGTCTGGCAAGATGCCACGACGGACGCTGACAGCGGAAGAGACCCGGTTGTGCAAGGCAGCCCTCAGTGACCGCCACAAGCGTCGCCTTCGTCGAGACGACGAGAGGCAGTCAGCAGCAGAGCCAAAGCATGGCGCTGAGGGGCGTGCGTTGAAGAAGCAGTCTAGGAAGAGGGCGATGAAACTTACGACGACAGCCATGGAGATAGCAGAGTCTAGAGGTCCACATATTGAGCCGGCAGCACCCAAAGAGACAGAAGCAACAGCGAGTACGGACGAAGCTAAAGAGGTAATACCTGTTGCAGAAAATGAGGAAGATTCTGTGGAACCAGAGGTGGAGGAAGTTGTAGCAGACGTGGTGATGGCTGTGGCTTCAGCTGTGGCTTCAAGTGCGCTTCTAACGCCTGTGCGAGATGCTCAAGGCGCTGTGGAGACCTTGCGCCCCCCTCGGACGAACAAGCAGGCGCCGGTTACGCAAAGATCCCCGAAACGACGCCGCCGCGTCCTACAAGACAGTCCAGAACGCGAAGCTCAAGCTGAAGGCACCATAAGTGACACCACAGACACCGGTGCTGCTTCTCCGGGCCCGCATCTCCCTGTCGCCTGCGTAGTCGACGGTGATCCTAACATCATGGCGGCTGGTGCACGTGTGTGCACTGGCCTCGGATCAGAAGAGGAATCTGGTCCTGATTCAGACGATGACGACGCGGACAGTGAGTGGGAAGGAGATTGGGAGCTTGGAGAACTCTCTGATGAGGAGTTAGCCGATTGCGTTGGAACTGAGCTACCGGACACGTTCTGCAAGTCGGTGGCGATGAATGCGGCGCGTTTGGCGGAGATGAAACATTCTGGCTGGGAGTATGGTAAGTTATGTTGAACGCTATCCAACATACGCAACTATTATTCCGTCGTTGTCCAACATAATGTTAACATTATCTAACTCACTTTGATGTGCTATTTGTAGACCAGTCCAAATTTGGAGACAATCCTACGTATGAAGACCTTTACGACGGGCCTTATGGACCATCTGAGAGCGTCCTTGGAGTGGCTGAAGACCCACTGGCGCTGTTCTTCTACTACCTACCGCCAAAATTGTGGAGACAGATTGCCGTCGAGAGCAATCGCTACCACACGCAGTCGATACCGGGTCGTGCGCAGGCGATTCAAGTGAAGCAGCGTCGTGGTGGTGGAGAAGTAGAGAACCTCGCAGATATTCGTCGGCGACTAGCACGTGTGAAGCCGATAGAACCGTGGGAGGTTTTGCGCGTCATCGCGCTTCTCATTGCAAGGATGCTGTCTCCAGTGCGAAAGGGGATTGCTGCTCACTGGGAGTTGACACCGGCTGGTGCGTTGCCAACGCCACGCTTCGGCAAGTACATGTCCCGCAACCGGTTCTTCCACATAATGGGATACTTGCACTTCTCCAACAACAAGTCGCCTCAAGCTAGCACGGATCGTGTATGGAAGATTCGGCCGGTTATCGAGGTTTTACAGCGTACATTTGCGCGCGGCTACAAGATTCCTCCTGTCATTAGCTTTGACGAAGCTACGCTGCCTTCAAGATCCCGCTACAATCCTACCAGACAGTTCAACAAGGACAAACCGCACAAGTGGGGGACCAAGGTGTTCGTGGCAGCGTGTGCAGATACAGCTTATTGCATGAGGTGCGTTCAAGGTGGCAAGCTAATGCTTGCCACTTTTTTTTTTTGTCTAAGTGCTTATGTTGGACGGGCAAACATCCACATTGTGGAGAATTTCCTAATCCAACATATTTATTACTTTTACTAATATCGTGTGCGTTTGTGCGACTGTTCAGATTCGAGGTGTACTGTGGTGCTAAGAGTAATCTCCGGACTCCGATTCCTGCTGATAATAATTGCGGCGAGGCTGCCGTACTAAGGAACATGAACGCGCTGTGCCCGCCATCACCGACCTCCCCGTGGCGTTTGGTAATCACAGACCGGTTTTACACGTCGGTGAAGCTGGCGTTGGAGCTGTTGCAGCGACGGATGTACATTACGGGTACGATCCAGACGCGTATGGCAGGGTACGCGAAGGATGTGAAGACTGACAAGTCTTACAGAACCGTGAATGGTGTGAGAGAGCTAGTACCACCACAGGGGACAATCAAGCTGGCTGAAAATAAGCTTTTTCCGCAGATAACCGCAGCAATGTGGATGGACCGCAATCCCGTCCACATGCTGAGCAGTGGTGGCAGCAGAGAAACAGTCAGTGTCAGTAAGTAAGCCTGTGTGTTTATATATATGTATCATTGCTCACTATTGTGCTTTTTTATTGTAGTGCGGCGTATCAAAGGCCAGATGAAAGAGCTACCGGCACCGGAGCTGGTTCGTGACTATCACCGATACATGGGAGGTGTTGATGTGCACGACCAGCTCCGGATGCAACGCTACAGCGTGCAGCTTTCGTACAAATCACGAAAGTACTACAAGACCTTGTTTCTCGGATTGCTGGACATGGCGTTGGTGAACGCCTTTATTGTGTATCGACACAACCAGCGTGCCAATGGGCACAAATCCCCGAAGCATTCCGCATTCTTCGAGACACTCATGGAACAACTACTTGCTGTTGATGAAAACTCTTTCGCTGAGATTGAGGTAAGTTGCTATGATGGGTTTGGCAACATAAATGCATTTACTAATATGTGTTATGTTGGTTATGTTTCCTATTCTAGAAATCCACCTCCGCTGAGGAGCGTACAGCCGCTTCACCTGCACGAGGAGCGTCGCCAAGACGGGAGGAGCAGCGACGTGGCTCAGACCGCATTGATGATGGCCACGAACTGGCGGAGAACCCAGACAAGGCCGACACTGAAACCGGAAAGAAGCGTCGCCACAGAACCTGCAAAGTGTGTGCTATCTACAAGGTGGTGCCGCGGAAGTATACGAAGTATTACTGTCCAGAATGCTCTGCAGGGCCAAAGAGGTACGTACATGCTGTTCATGCTTGATACTAACACGGTGATAGCGCTGACTGTAGGTTGTGCCGCAGGAAGTATCTCTGCAACGTTGTTAGGGAGGAAAGGGAGCGCACGTGCTTTCAGATATGGCACCTCGACTGGAAGAACGGGAATGACATCCTGAGCCGCTTGCTACGCGACCACAAGATACGCGACCGAGCGCCAGCGGAGCGTCCAGGCAAGAAGCGGAGACGCAGACAGCAGGTAGGCGAGAGCGGAGCAAGTGCTGGTGCTGGTGCTGGGGAGTCGAGCGAAGAAGATGATGAAGCGGTGGAGGAGGAGGCGTAGTGGTTGCGCCGTCTGGTCGTACATGTCTATGCAAGGAGCAATCAATTGATACGGCACTTGATCTTTCTTGTTATTGGCTATAATAAATGAACTCACAGCTGCTGGACGTATGCAACAGCACAAAGATAGGCTAATCAATAAACAGTACATATCTTATGTTTATTTATACAGCATAGTTGTATATGATCGTCTCAATGTACTACATAAACCCTCCTTTATGTTGGAGAATCCGTACTATACACACTGGCAAGTCGTTGTTACCACCCCGATCCCGCGCCAAGATATCCGGACTTAATTGAAACCCCATACAAATTCCTTTATATCTGTATATGGGACGAGGTCAAAATATACCCTCATATTTGAGGCCGGGAACTAAGGGGTTAAGGCTTCTTCGTTTATCAAATATCGCGAAAAATGTTATGTGCATGCATGATCAGCATCAATTTCCCGCAGGCGTTTTAGCCTCCACCATATTAATAAAAGACAAGAAAGTTAAATAAAGTGTGTTTGTCTGTGATCTCTGTGCTATTCTGTTTCCATTACGGGTCTCCCGGCATTAATCCGATAATTACTTCTGTATTTATGGGCAAAACAAAATGGTGGTGCATTTCATTTCGCCAGTACAATAGTAATATCCGTACTGCTTTAAAATAGTAGTAATCGGAATGGGCAACCTCAAAGTAATTTTTTGACAAGTGCTATTTAGCCCCCGATTCTCAGCCCATTTATTTATCCGGATAAAATAATCCGGATAACAAGGGTGAGGTCGAGAAGATAGACCTCCATCAGCACTTCGTAATGGCTTTGTCGATACGCGCTAAGAACTTTATCCTCGGCGGCAGCCTCGCCACCTTTGCGTCCTCCATCTTCGGATATACCTTCTACCAGATGAGCCGGGTGCGCTAGCAACTGCTAAGCTGTCACTACACCTCCCATGTTTTACCTATAGTCTGACTGTTTGTGCTGTGGGACCGTTTGGTGCTCCGCAGGACGATTTCAAGGACTTGGATACGGTCAAGGTGAACGTGCACTCGAGTGGCATGAAACCTTCATCTGTTGGCAAGCATGACGAGTAGGAAACTCAAATGCATCACGACGCATTCAAGCTAAAGAATATAAAACCTTTTTAGTGTGTCGGCTCTTGCTTCAAGAGTCTTGAAGCAACTACTTTTCGTCATCTTGTAATTTCAACTTGAGAATAGGATACATGTGTAAGAGTGACTTAAGAGCTGCAATTTTTTTATTTCGAAAAGGCCGACTCGAGCTTCCACTGGAAACTGTAGTGTCTCCTCCCCCCCCCCTGATAACGTTGCTCAGCTGCACTAAAGAAAACATCACAAGTCTACCGGAATGCAGCAGTCCGCTGCGCAAGAACCTGCTAAGAAAACAGCAAAACGGTAGTTAGCCGTACCTTGTTAAACAGCCTTCCGTCAGCAGTACACGGGCGCACCTTCGCCATGAGGCGCTGTGACTTGGTGGACGTTATGTTCTTGAGTTTGCGCAGGTTTTCTGCTGTGCGGTTGGTTTGCTCCAGCTCGCGTCGCGCCTTCTCCAGTGCCTTCACGTTGGACTTGCGAGACACTTTCTTGCTCTTTTGGCGCAGTTTAGTCCGAATATTTGTGGACAGCGTGGTGGTGGACTTAGGCAACTTTCCCTTTTCCTTGGTAGGATTGCTGGTATTCGCCTTAGCTGAGGCACAGTTCTGCAGGAAGAGCTTAGTCACGCGGGCCGCCATGCTTTAAAAGTTTTGGGCTCCAGTGAAATTGATGCTATTTCATAGGTTTATCCTACTATATAGCTTATCCTGGTGGACACTACACCGTTCACGCTTATTAGTCGTACCCTGACTCCGTTCTGAAAAAGATAACCATTTGTTTGTTTTTTGCGCAGCGCTCCGCCTCGTTCATTTGAGCGTTTATTAATTTGTGAGAGGCTGGCTAGCTAGCTTTATGACCGAGAGCTGACAGTGAGAAACTAAGCAAGGCACAGGCGTTCATGCTCCGCCGTGCAACTATAGATACAAAAACGGATCTAAGACGGCAACTATATCGCCACATTCTGAAGGGGCGCTCAGTGGGGCTTCTGGAACTTCAGCGGTAGACGGTGGGGGGCTGCTCGCTGCAAGAAGCAGCATGTACGCGTTAGCATTGGCGAGTGAGATAGCGTCACAAGGCAGTGACGTAGGCAGCTTGTACTTGCTTGTCCTTGTGCAAGTGTCCGAGACGGTAATGATTACCACCTTTGCAGTTCATAACCTGCTCCATGACGTGTTGCAGAGTCAAGAACGTTTTGGTAAGCGTGTCCGCTGTAGTTTCTCCAAAAGCTTTCTCCACTTCCCTGATGAGGTCTTGAGTTGTTCGTGGTATTGTCCGCGACTGCAGCGATTGAATGCTGGCAAAAAAGCCCAGGTCTAGGCAGTTGAAATCAGGACTTTGTGCAGGCTGGTTCCGCAGCGCGATGTTCCAGTCATCCGAGGACCCTGCCGCGTTAGCGTAGGCATCATCCTCTAGGACGTGGGGCCGAGCGTTATCTTGTTGGATGCGAATGGCAACACCCTTCTGCTCTTGTGGCCACTTTGCTTTGATAGCCTTCCTTGATCAGCTGCTGAACCAGGTAGCAGCTCATGTTGGACGCGCGCTGAAGCAGACGCTGGGTTTCGCGCTCATTGACAGGAACTGCAGCGATTCTCTCGCACAGCTCAGCTCGATCCACCTTCTTCCTACCACATGCGCTCTTCCTTGACTTGACCACGGCTGCTACTCGATCTCCCATCGAATTGATTCCACGCCTCCAAATTCGCTCGACAACTTGGCGGCCCACACGGAAGTACGCTGCAACCCGAACGATCTCTCCATGTTTGAGCACTCCTCCCACGCTGCGAAGCAGTAAGGTCTCCCAGACGGCCTGCCGCTCACTGTCTGTGATCTCCCCCATGTGCCAGCTTTCAAAATGAAAGCTAGGCGCGGGAGCCAGTCTGGTCGGGAAAGCGCGGGAGATTCGAAATCCAAAATCTGATCGGCATAGAGGGGGTATTCTTTTGGGGTAGGCTGTAATATAATTTGAAATGGTTATCTTTTTCAGAGCGGAGGTAGTACGATTTCAATTGCAACTACGATTCTCGCCTAAGGCGCCAGCGTTTAGCAGCACTAGCACTTTTTTCGCTACTGCTGCAACCTTCACTCTTACACAACGCCTATGCGACGAAACTAGCGGGTTCGACACCCACGCCGCCGCAGTTTTGGTGAATCACCTTGGCGAATTGCAGAGCGAGAGCATCAGCGTCCTGCTGCGTGTCCGCTTCAGCATAAACACGCACCGCATCCTCGGTGCCGGACGGCCGGACGAATGCGCGGCCGTGTTTGTTGACGTATTCCTGCAGAGCTGCGTTCAAAGCGTCGCGGAGGCTCTCAGGCGCCAGCACCTTGGTATCGTCTTCCTCGTCCGATTTGATAACACTGCGGTCTGCGACCTTGACCTTCGTCTGACGACTCGGCAGGTCGTTGTAGATGGCGTCCCAGTCAGCAATACTCCAGTTCTTTTGGACCAGCAGAGCCTCCACGAACAGCAAGTCGCACATAGCGTCACCCGTAGCCTGGTTCACAAGCTGCGAGGCGGCGAGCAACTGCGACAAGGCCAACTTCTTGCGCTCGTCGTGCAGCGTGTTCTCCCACTTGTGTAGCTTGTCCATCAGCGCGTCCTTGAAGACAACCGTGCCGTGGCCGTTGGCCTCAAAGTACACGGCCATGTCGAACTGCGTCGCTTTCTCATGACAGTATTTAACGCCAGTCTTCGCCTGCTCCACACGGATGCCTATCGCCTGCAGGTACTGAGTGGCAGCGCCGTTGGCGTACGCAGTCATCACACAGCCAAACGTCACGCCTTCTTGGTCCAGCTCCAGCGCGTGCAACTTGTCGGACAGGAACTCGGCGAACAGGCAGGCAATCTTGTTGCCGTCCAGCAAATGCCACGTGCCTTCATCATCGAAATAGTGGAAGACGACACGGTCGCCATCGCCATCCATACTGCAGTAGCGCTTACCGCGGTCGCTCTCACGGGTCACGTTCGTGGGCGGCTGGCGAGACTTTTCCACGTGCTCAGCACCGCATTGAAGGTTCAGCTCACCGTCGCTAGGTATGTTAACGATCTCGAGACGAAGCGAATCACCCAGATCCTTGGCCAACTTGGCCAGTTGCAACGCGCCGACGCCGTGCGCACAGTCCACGTAAAGCGGCGAGCGCGTATCCAGGCGCTAAGACAATGACAATAACCACATCAGTCAGTTAGCCCAGATACCTTTCTCTCTACAATGGATCCCACTTTGGAGTCATGCGTGGCCGTGAGCTGCTTGAAGGCGTCGCTGAGCATGTTGTAGTAGCCCACCTCGGACGCCCAGTCACCCTTGTTGTAGTGCTCATAGTTCCACTGCAAATATGAGTCAGTAGCTATCACTTTTCGACAATAATATGGGGCATCGTACCATGCGAACCAGATGGTGCAGCTGCGGCGTCGTCTGCAGTCCAAAGTCCAAGACATTACCTCCGATCACGAGCGCTCCCTCACGCGCGAGTTCGGCCAGGTGCTCGCTGGAGGGGCGAGTGTCCTTGGCGATAAAGACGTTGCCTGTGTGGTCCAAATCGATCTTCTCAGCGGCCACGACGGCGTCCAGCACTTCCACGACCTTGTCCTGAGCCGCATTGGCCAGCTGCATGCCGTATTTCTCCCACCTCTGGCTCAGCATGTCGCCCTTGGGGTCAATGATCTTGAGTCCGTTGTCACCTGCCGGGTTGTGTGACGCCGTGATCATCACACCCACAATTTTTCCCACACTCTTGGAGCGCAAAACCGCCAGCATTCCCATGCGGTGGCACGTGGACACTAGCAGGCTCGCATCCTCGCGGAAGCCAGCTGTGCCGTAGCGTAGCTCGCGCAATCCCAGACGTTCGTCACGCGGGTACTTGGCGGTCTCCTCAGCAACGCGCGGCGTCTTATCCATCACGCTCATGCTGCTCAAGTTTCTTGGTCCTGTTGTCGTGGCTTGCCAATTGCGATTGTGGAAAAATAAAGCTTATTACGACGTGAAACGTGGGGACTGTCAATTGGTCGAAAAGAGCATTTAGATGACGGATTTGGGATACAGTTTACTTGGTACCGGTACTGGATTCTGAAAATCGGCGAGTTAATTCAGAATTTGGATTAGAAAAACAGTACAGCCCCCCGAAAATAATAAGCGAATATAGCTTCTAGATAGTCGGGCAGGAAACTGTTAATGCGAGGTCTTCTTACAAGATCTGGTTCAAACACACTACATCGCTTTTGTAGTCGAATACAGTAGTCGAAGTAGATTGCACATGGAAGACTAAACAATGTGTGACTCGAAGAGAGTCATACGCAGCACAATGATGAATTCCATTTACCTTAACAGTTGCCATTTCAACTTGTACTCCAGAGATGTGTTGTTTATCTAATACATTCAACCAAGTTTGACCATTCGCGCATTCATTATTTGCGAAATTTGTAAAAAAAAAAAACGAAGTTCTAGAAAAGAAACTTTTTTGTATAAACTTGCACGGCTCCGCCCAACATAACTCCTTAAATTTCTCCACAACTTTGGTGTAACTCCAATCGGAAAGACCAAGTATAATTGCCGCCATGCGGAAACCATGAAATGCACATTCATATTCAGGGGAAGCGCCGAGCTGATGAAGCTTAGCATAACCATGTCCATCAGAAGCGCGAAACTTGTACAATGAGCCATAATTAGAAGCTTTCCCTTTAACCACGATCTCACATTGATAATTAAAGCCATCTGCTCGTAAACTAACTCCAGAAATTTACATACGGTATCGTTCCAACGTTAGCCGTTTGGTTCATCTACCTGATACAGATTCCCTCCTTGACACGATCGAAAACACCAAAAACAGCTCCAACATCAGTTTCGCTTGATGAAGCATTCTTACTTTCATTCATAGAATTAGAAGGCTTGCCAGGTTTTCCCCTGCCTGGGGTGTCCATAATCTCCTGTCGCACAACTTTCTTTTTGTTTCTTGAACGTTAAACAACTTGCATCCTTCACATTCATCGCATTCACGGACTGCAACCCCTTCGTCCCGCAGCGTCTCGCTTTGGTCGAGCCCAGGGTGCCAGCGCGAAAGCAGCGAAGTCGGGATAAGTCGAATTCTGCTACAGAGGATTTTGCTAGTGAAGAGAAACTTGTAGGTCACCAACGATCTAGTTGATGGAATACGATTCATGCACAAACGTGCAACATCCTGCCGTTCAGTATCCGCGATCTTTCTGTGTCTTGTCCCACCCAGCCTTAACAACTTTTACGGCCCGCTACTCTTTTGCAAATGATCACCCTCAAAACGCGTAGGAGAAGATAGAAGGCTACAAATATCAGCAAATGATCACCCTCAAAACGCGTAGGAGAAGATAGAATGCTACAAATATCAGCATCACTGACACGGATTAAGCTAAGCAATAGGTACTTTATGAGGCGAGAACTTCAAAGTGGTGCGACACTACTTAAGTACTTACAGTTTGTTAGTAAAAAACACGGCTGCATCTCCATAAAATGTTAATCAACGCTCCCCATCAGCACTCAGTGATTTCCCTTGCATAACACCTCTTTTTATAAAGCTGCTGACTAAAAAACATGGCTCCCTTCGTCAGCTAGGAGCTGTCCTTGCTGGACAAACCAACTGTAAACGTGTTGAGCTAGTATATTTATTTCAAATATTACAAAATTTGCACCACAGTCGGGCGCGTTCAGCGATATGATCTTTTTTACCATCGTCTTGCACGCCGTCGACGCGCATATGAGCTTGTACTGCTCCGTCGTGGGCAGGGAGGTGGCCGTCAGCATCGAGGGTTGCCGGCTACTTATCACACGCTCCTTTCATTGCCTCAAACATGAAGCGCGCCGTGTAGCGCGACGGAACAGTATTTGGGTACTCGCTATGAGCAGTGTGTAGTATGCAAACACAAATGAGATGTATCACATTTATGCACCCTTGTTTTTTAAGGCCCTTCTAATACTGCTAGATTTATGCTATTTTGCGCATAGGATGTAGTAAAATGGGTGACTACTGTAGACGACAACAAAACATTACATGTACACGTACAGAATTCGTTGTATCTGCTGCTGGCAGATTGCCAAAACGAGCTTACCCATGTGGACCTGACAAGAATGAAGCCCTGGTTGAATTAGAATTTCGCCTTTATTCTCCATCGTCTTAGAAACAAGTACTCGCTTAGGCATGAAGCCCGGACGCCTTTCCTTCCTTCACCGACAACAAAAACCATGTCCCGCCGTGTCACCAAGAAACCAAACTAGTGAGCGCGCTTACAGACGGCCACCAGAGCCAGCCATCGACTCAACCAGCTGGTCCTCCTCCCGAGCGACCTTAGCACCCTTCTCCTCAGCACCGCCCTCGTGGAGCTCCATCAAACGCACCAGGTCGAACTTGGGCTTCTTCAAGATCTTGCACTTACGGATGTACACGTTTTGGAGCGGGTAGATGCCCTGCGTGGCCTTCTCGATCTCCTTGCCAATGATCTCAGGCACAAACTTCAGGAATAGGTCCTTGATGTCGCACTTGGAGGCCTCCTCCGTCATAATCGACGTCATCTTCTTTCGGATGGCGCGGATCTGAGCCGTCTTGGCGTAGGTGGTCTTCTTGATCTGGTTCGGGCGCTTCTTAGTGAAGGCAATGCAGAACAGACGCACCAGGTATCCGTCCGTCGTCTTAACGTCGACGAATGCCTCAATCAGAGTCTGCCACTTGCGGATCAGCGAGCACAGCTTGTCGCGGGTGAAGTCCATGCCGTGAAATCCAGTGATGATCTGGCTGCCCTGGATCTCCTCGGCACAAAGGCGGATCTTACGGAAGGCTTGGTCCTCGTCCTTGTTCAGGTCAGCAAGGCAAACCTCGAACACACGGCCACGGAGACCCTCCGAAGCAATCTTGGTTCCGGCGGTACGGTTCACCAGAGTCTTGCCGCAGTTGCGCTCCGAGAAGATGGCAGGGGCCTTGACATCGTACCAGTCCTTGCGCGAGAACGGGTCGACGCTGTTATGAAAAAACATCACAAGATTAGGATTATCTATGCATTTTTTTTTGCTAGTAGCGCTGAGCTCTGTCCAGGCGTTTAGAGGTCAGTGCTAGGACCAAGGTGTAACGTACACTTTCTTCTTGCCACCCTTCTTGCCCTTAGTTAGACGTTTGTTTTTTCCTGTGATCAGCCATTCCAAAAGTTAGAGATCTGTTCGCCTTGTTTCGAAGTCGCGTCGCACGAGACCAATGTCAATCGCGTCTATCGCATCCTCCGCCCCTTATTGCCGGCTATTTTTCCTTCTGTGATCTGTCTCGAGTGAAAAGGCGCTTTCTAAACGCTGCTCTTCTTTTCCTGCTGGCTGCTTTTCTTGCTGTGTGCGTCGTCGCTGCTCGGCAATGGGGGCGGGGAGAGCGACAAGTCTACCAGACGCGACTCATTGTACTCACTGCGCTATAGTTGCTATCAAAAAGGGGTCTTAAGCACACTCACCGACAGCCATGGTTGTCTTTAGCTTTTTCTTAAAGGCGAAATGGAGCTGCCTGGGTTGGTAGAAGGCAATTCAAGGCGAATGGCTGGTGGAAGTCACGGTTCGCCGAACCGGTCATTCCCACCTATCCCTAACTGATTTTTACAATGGACAAAACGAAAGACCAAAATGGCACCAACTCATTGGCCAAAACAAAACGTCCGACCACAATTTGGGGGACCCCTACTAATACCGGTATGCTACTGAATCCTACCTGTAGTATTCGCCATGTCGGCGCTCGACCGGGCGTTCACGACTGCGCACGATGATCTCCTGCAGGCTCGCGAGGAATTGACGCAGTCACCGTCGTGTAGTTTCCAGGACGCGTTTGTGGAGGCGTTGCGGCAGCCGTACGAGGCGGCTGCGCTTGCTCACAGTAATACCAACAAGAGCAGAGAAGTAACCACATGGCGGCGCTCAGACCTACTCAGCTTTTTGAGTGTCTACTTTCCGCAGTATGCGCAGCATCCCGCGGCGTTCTCTGCGTTGTGCGCATCACTAGCCAGGGAGGCCGCAAGAGCCGCGGAGACAGAACGAAATAGACCCGTAGAGAATGATGAGGAGTTCGTGACCGCCACGTTCGACAAGTTGAAGCGCGTGTTGGTGCGACAATACGGCAGTACGAGACTTGTTTCTAAGGATCCCTTTCCGCTTGAGCCTTGTGTCGAGCCCAAGGGGGAACGTCGTCGCAGTATCGCCCCGTTCGTCCCAGGGTCGACAAGTGGAAATGAAAATGCACCCGATGAGACCACGTCGACGCTGGTTCTGCGGGAGTTCCAGGCTGAAGTGGTAAAGAAGTCTAAGAGCTGGCTAGGACGCTGGCGAGCGCGTCAGTTGGTGCTGCGTTGGGGATTCCTAGAAATGCACAAACGCATCTCCAGAACTCCCCAGCGCAACTTATCTGCCAGATCGTTCCGCCATCACACGTCAGGTGCCAGTTCCAGCGCTGCAATGAGTAATACTAGCATCCGCGGAGGTGACAGCTTCAGTTCTGCTTCCTCTCCAGCGCTCACAACCACTAGAGCAGCAGCCAATGTCAAGACATACGATCTACAGGATATGGTGTCTCTGACACTGGCGCACGTGAGTGATGGAGAGTCGACCTCAGCCACCGGTAGAAAAGCAGCTTTGACCCTGAAGTTTCAGACAACAGTCACGCCGTCATACAACGGCCTCAGCAGCTCTGGTACCACAATCAATCAGGACATCAAGACGCTTATACTCGGTGTCGACAACACGTCTGATACGCTCGTTTCGATTCGAGATCACATCGCCACGTTTGCGCTGTACCTGGAGCTTTCACGAAGAGATCGCCTTCCATCCATGACCAAAGTACGTCGATACATTGTAGCCGGTGCCATGGTGAACGTTCGCATCCGTATTCCTCGCATCTCACAGCCCAAAGATCCAAAAGATGGAACGCGAAGACGAAGTCAAGTAAAGCAACCGCCTCGCGGGATGGTGACTGCATTGCAACTCGCGTTTCTGCAAGATCCACGTGTTCCCAGCTTCGAGAGTACAATTGCTTTGCTACTAAAAGCTGACGCAGACCCACGCAGTCTCCTGTACTGGGACTATGCAACGCAAGTAGTTTTTTCGCCCTTGTCCAGTGATAAAAAAGAGAAAAGTGAGGAACACCACCAGCGACGGCGATTACGGAAGCGCCTTCTTCTCCTTGACAAGGTGGAGAGTGATGGCGATGAAAGTGCCGTTTTCCGGTGTTGTGAAGCTCAGGCAGATGACGGAGCTCGGTGGAATTTGCTCATGTATTTTTGCTGGCTTGGGGACGTTGAGGGCGTGAAGCAGCTGCTCATTGTGACTGGGGTTGGGAGCTCTTCAGGAAGTCAAAGCAGGACTATTAGTCGGCAGCTTGTGACTTGTCTGGATCATGTTAATGCGGCAGGCGACACGGCGCTTCATATTGCAATAAAGTCGAGCAAAGAGCCTATAGCGTTACTGCTTGTGGAGGCCGCGCTTTTAGCGAATGCTCAGACGGTACATCAATGTGACGCTTGTGGTGAACCAGTGGTGCATTTGGCACTCGTTGCACGTCAATGGCACGTTGTAGACGTGTTGGTGGCAGGTGGGGCAGTTGATCCTCGATCGTATGACGCTCTGGGAAATACAGCATTGCATCTTGCCATTCAGCTTCGTGCACCTGTAGCACTTATCGCGCGTCTTATTCAAGTTTATCGTCACTCTTCGCCGTCCGGAGGTCTAGATGGGCGAGCTGGTCGTCGTGGAAGTAATGATACTCCTCTATCGTTGGCTCTCAAGAGTGGTCAGCAAGAAGTCGTTGCTTTATTACTTGCGTCTGGGGCTTCTCACTTAGGTTCAGATTATCGATGGAGTCACGCATTTAGTGGGAAGCGGGACACTCGAGATGAAGAGGTTGCTGAGGAGAGGATGGTGGTTGGAGACAATGATAGCGCTCTCCATGTTGCTATTAAGGCTGGAATGGAGCTCGCAGCAGCGGCATTAATTGCCCATAAAGCAGATATCTATCTTGTAGATTCTCGAGGCGCATCGTCACTAGCCCTTGCTATCCGCTACGGATTATACGCGCTAGCTGCTGCTCTCGTAGACCAGCATCAAAAGAAGAAAACGAAGCAATCAGCTAGTGAACAGTGGTGGGTGGATGGAGAAACAGGAAGACCCGTGGCGATGTTGGCTTTTCAAGCTGGGCAACTTGAGCTGGCAGCACTCTTGCTGGATTGCATTAACCAAGACAAAGGTCAATTGTATTCTGCCCGGATTCTTCCTCTGTTATTGCGGATAAGCTCCTGGCTAGGTGCTAGTATTGGGGCTAATAACAGCGTGGTATCAACCAAGTCAAGTTTTTCAAGGCGTAAATCGAGGAACAGTGATGCCGATGAAGGTAGAAAATCAGAGGAGCAAAAAAGGACTCGGTCGTCTAATTGGACTCGTGAACCCACAAAACGTCGCAGTGATGGAGGCTGGAAGCAGATGGACAGGGAAACATTTCGCCATAGCGGGATCAGTTTATCATCAAGTGCATCTACTGAGGAGGACAGAGAAGCCTGCGACTTTCTTCTTCGAGGGATTCAGTCGCTTATGGTGAAATTTCTTCATCTCAGTGGAAAGGTGTCGGTGACCGAAGTTATTGGAGGTGACACGACGTCCACTTCTGTGTCTCCATTGACTCTCCCAATAGCGATCCGTCTACCAACAGCTGCAACCCCAACTTATTCGTCTCCACCGATAGTTTTCAATGACGACGAACTGACAAATGTGTCACCGCTGCATGTGGCAGCGTCCGGTGGCTCATCCACGTCAAATCTACTTCGATTACTATTAGCATTTCTGCTGGCTGCGGATGCTTGTGCAGCAGCGCAGCTGCTTGGATGTCCGATGGGTCCTCGTGCGGAGACACCACTGCATGCTGCACTTGCAGCAGGGGCAGCTGAAAACGCCTTGCTGCTGCTCTATTCATTGCATGAGCTTCAAGTCCGCAGTCCTGCCGGTGCGGGGCCCGTATGTGGTCAAATTTTGGAGATGACTAATGCATTTGGTGATTCGGCACTTCACTTGGCCTGTACGTGGCCTCGTAGTGTTTCGATGCGGCTCATCGTGGAGCTGCTTCTTCAAGAGCATGTGGATACTGGAAACTGGAACAGCGCAGGCTTGTCTCCTCTGCATGTAGCACTGCGCGAGGAGTGTGATGATTCATTAATTGACTTGTTTTCACGATACGGGCAGGATTTAAACCTTTGGACTGAAGGCAATACATCCGAAGACGACGAAGACGGCGACTTTTCTAATATTGGCGGCCGTCTAAGTGCTGTGGCAATGGTAACGGCGTGTCCACGGAATTCCTTAATGTTGGCTGTGGAGTCGGAGAACGCTTCTGCATTTCGCGCATTGGTGCGTGGTGGGGCGCGCACGAGAGCTCTCATACCGCGTGCTCGTATTGGACTACTGCAGCTTGCTGTGCACTTCAAAGTGCGTGATCCTGAACTGCTTGCGTATCTGCTTGACGATCCGGCGCTGGAGCATTCAGCTCAGTCGGATTTAGCTGATCAGTGGGGTGTTAGTCCTCGAGATGGTCGGGTAAGGTTGATGGAGGTGTGGGGGAAGGAGCGCAGTGGAGTTGACATGCAGGAGGCAGTAGGAGGTCGTCCGTCCGCTAACACTGATGGGAACACAGTGGATAATTCGTTTGGGAGTCGGAATCGACCGCCTCCGCTTCATCCGGCGTCATGTAGTGGCGAACAACTTGCTTGCATATCTTCTGACTATTCTCCACCCATAGATTTTTCTGCACAACCAGCAGATACCAAAGTGCCTCTACCGCTTCGCATCAGTGTTTCGCGTCCACCTGCAGATTCAGTGCCATTGGAGACGGCTCAGTATCTCCGAGCACTTCCAAGGCCTCCAACATTATCATCAACGACTCTGGATTATTTGCGAGAAGAAGAGCAGACGACATTGACGCTAGTTGCACAGGAAGCTCGCAATGAGGCTCAGGATTGGCTTGCAAAGCGGATCGGCCAGAAAAAGCTGTTGTCAGATGCCCATGCTCAGCTGCACAATGCTACTAGAAAGCATAGACGCATAGCAAGTGGAAGCAGCGTGAGCAGCACCAGAGACGAACTAGAGGCATCTAATGAATCTACGCAGAGTGATCACCAATTGCTGGAGGAGTTGAAGGCTGCTGCAGCTAAGAAATTTATCGACAAACACGTGGCTGAAGCGGTGGTGGAGGCGCGATTGGCCATTGAGCGAGAGAAACAAACTATTTTCCAGGAAACGGGACTATTCCCCGGGGTGACTTCGGCTTCATCAACGAAGAACAAGAAGAAGGCGGACGGGAGACATCGATCGCTGCTGGTTCGAGCTGCAGGTTCGACTACCGGGTCCATGTTGCTACCTGCGTCATCGGCATCAGTGACGTCGGTCTCGAGCGAGGAAGGGGGCTCGGCTCAACTGAGCGACGACAGCTACGGGGGTGCCAGTTTCTGGTGGTCTGACCGCGGTACTACATGTTCTTTTTTGAGCGACGATTCCTGGCTATCAAGCAGTAACCCGCGAGGTGGAACTGTGATGAGTGATCCTGCCTCGGCCAGCGTTTCGTCGTGGACTTCGAACGGAAGGGGGAAGATGCTTGACGGTAGTTTTGATCGTCGTCTTTCGTTTGCTTCACGAAGTTTTGTGGACAGTGAAGTCTCCAGAGATGAAGGCTTGATTTATGGTAGCGTCGCGCAGTCCCGGGACCAACCATCTTTCTCACACGCTAAAGCAGAGCGAGGTACAACGACGTGAGAATGTCAATATACTTCGAGGTACTACTACATGTAGTATAAGATGTTTTGCGAGTGATGAGATCATTTCACCGCCGGTTTTGCCATCAAACATACCTGCTTGACTATCTGGTATCAATCATCTACAGTAGCTTATGTCTCCGAGTTTATCCTATGTTGATTGTACTGACGGGAGTATGGTTTTCCGTTGTTTAGGACTCCCTCGCAGCTTGTTGGGCCTGAATGATCTGCTGGATAAATTCATCGGAGAGAACAATTTTGTCCTGCGCGCTGTTTTGAAGCTGCTGCAAGTACTGGACTGCGTCGGCCGAGCTAGCGGTTGCTCCGTAGTTTTCAAAACGTTCATGCTCCTCTAACTCAGCGCGAACATGGATCAGTAGACGGTTTAGGTACCGTCGGTGAGCTATAGAAGCTCGGTTCAGCACTAAACTCAACTTGGACGGCCCTGGAGTATCGGTGGGGGCTGGCAGCTTCAACGAAGAAGTAGGTTCCGCTGCTGATGGTGAAGTGCTAGGGGTGCTTGAAAATGGTGGCACCACCCCTCCTGGTGGTGGAAGAGGCTCAATACCGCCGCCCACTTCATCTCCGAGCTCCGTACTAGTATCGCCCTTGTGGACGAAACTGTCGCCGTCCTGAATCTGTTGTTGCTGCTGAAGCTGGTGCTCGTGCAGCTTGGAGCCTGACATTGTGAGGAAAACCTGATGAGGACGCACGAAAACGCCGTGCTTAGGCTTACAGCGGAAGTAATACCGTCCTTTGACACTGCCATCGTTCTTGCCGTAAGCTTCATCCAGTTCGATGCCCACCCAAACTCCTTTCACGCTGATAATTTCACCTAAAAAACGAACAAACCCAAACAGTTCATTATCCGGGATGCATACACGATCGCCCACATCCAAGTTAAAGCCCGCTAAGGCCTGCACTTGCTGCACTGGAGTGGTGTCTCCATCCACACTGGCATTCGACGCCGAGCCGGCACCTTTCGTGGATTCAGCCACGTCCGAAGACACGAGCGCCTCGAGTCGCTTCTGAATTTTGTAGTCGACCATGCTCATGACCACGAACGCTCGCTTGGGAAACAGAGTGTGGAAGACCAGGAAAAGCTCGTGCGCCTGTGCTCGACATGAGGAGCTAGCGTCGTACAGAGCGTGCTGCAGTCCCTTCTCGAGCTTCTGCACGTCGCTCTTGTCCATCACGGGGCTCCAAGCGACGAGCGCGTGCCGAAGACACGAGATGCAGCATAGTCGAATGAGTTTGTTCTTGCTGTCCAGTAGAATCTCCACAAAGAGCCGCAGTGTCGGGCCCTTGACCACCGTCTGCGTTACGACGGCCTCAAGGCACTCGCCGCAGTACGTACCACAGACTTTGTTACCACTTCCACGCACCTCCACAAGTGTAGGCAGTATATCACGCAGGAACGGAGCCATTGCGTCTCGAGTGACCCGTGAGATGGTCGTGAGCAGTGCGCAAACTTCCTTGACGATCTGCGAACGTAGATCCTGTATCATAGCTTTAAGTGGCCGTAGCGTCTTCCACACCTCGGTGCTCAAACTGGCAGCTACGGTGCTGGCCGGTGGGTCCTTTTCGAGCTGCTCGAAGACGCGCTGCATCTCACCCAGCGCCGTCATGCGCTCTTGCCAGTTCTCGGTGTTGCGCGCCACACGTTCCATCTCTCGGGCCAGCAACGTCACCAGTACCTCCTGTCACAAAATGTCGTTAGAGAAGGCAAACACACATACAAAGAGAGGAGTGGGCTGGATTACTACCTTGCTCATGGCTACGGATCGACGCCACCAACGTTGTGTGCAGTCTTACTCCGGTTTAGTTTGGCGATAATTTAGTACTATTAAAATGCCGCTACGTTTTACTAAGAAAGCTGTAGCAGTTTTGACCAATCACACCCCACAATAGTTGCCCCACCGGGGTGGAAGAAGCGCCAACAGAACCGACCGGTCCTCTGGTGGATCGACTTTCACATCCAGCCCCGCGGAAGATCCTACAAAAAAGTCACCGAGCCGGGATCCAGTCCGTGGAAGCTGGATCCAAGGCTATATGGAATGGCAAAGGCAAATCTCCAGGTGGCGGAGAGTTTGTGGATAATGGATCACGGATGACGAAAGCTGATGGTTTGGATCCTGTGGATCCACCGCTGGTTCGGAACTCTACATCAAATGGAGTACACGGATCGTCACCGGTGGTGTCAACGTTGATTAAACAGGATACACCACACGAACATCCACCCTCATCTCGGCAGATACAGATAGAGAATATTTGGAACATGTTGAGGAGTGTAGATTGGAACGACCGGGATCTGGTGAGATCCAATCCACCCGTAGATATCAATGACCTTTGGTGGGAGGTACCTCCCCAGATCCAATGACATCGCAAGACGCGAAATCGGATGGACCCAGTGATGAACTGAAGCCTATAAAACAACCAGACCCAGTGAGCTTGGTGAGGCAACTGGATCCAGATCCAGTGGTGGATCCGGTGAAGGCGGAGAATAAGCAGGTCTGTTACCACGAGGGTGGGGATTTGTATGCAAAGAATCTCGGCAAGGGCATAGCAGTGATCCCGGAGGTACCACAGACTACGGAAGAAGTGACGATCGAGGACAGCTAGATGGATCCGCCGTTAAAAGATCCGAGAGAGTCGACTGCTGATTGGTAAGGACAATGCGCTACCACCGGCAGCGCGTGGTGCTAAGTGTGATATCGATGTCGATGACACAAGACCGATTGCCCAGAAAGCGCGGAAGGTAGCACCCCAATTCAGCGAAAAAATATCGGATCTGATTAAGGGTCTGTCGCGAGCCGAGATCACCCGTTTCTCGATGTCACCATAGATATCACCTATTGTCATTATTGTCAAGAAGAACGGTGTGGATATACGATTATGTATTGATTATCGAGTGGTGAACGGTTTGACTAGGCTCATGGTGTATCCAATACCACTGATCTACGGCCTGTTGGAGGATCTGGACAAGGTCCTCTGGTATTGCTATTTGGATATGGCTAGCGGAGTTTAGGTGGTAGCTATGATGAACCGAGCACGTGCGATCTCGACTTTCATCACACCATTTAGACTTTTCGAGCGGAACGGGATGCCCTTTGGATTGAAGAGTGCGCACATATCTTTCAACGTCTGATCGACAGCGCCCGTTATGGATTAATTCGGATACCTGGATCTGAAGGAGATGAATTCGGACGAGACGAAGCAGATGTGGATCCATTTGAAACGGGCGATCCAGGGGGCCCAGGTACGTCATCAGTACTGGGACGCATATCCTACATCGACGACATGCTAGGCCCTGCGGGTCATGGGATCAGCTGTGCGAACTAATCGCATCCCTGCTGAAGTCGTGCAGTATGTGGAACCTTTCGATCAGCGTCGTGAAGAGCTATTGGGGGATGCGCAAGGTGGATTACCTTCGCCATCGGGTTTCGATAGAAGGAACGGAGTCGAATACAAAGGACTTGTTCTCGCTGGCCGGTCTGATGTTCCTCGAATAATTCCGGGCTATGCAGTCGTTATTGGGTAACTTGAATTACTACAGCCGGCTATTTGAAAATTACGCGATCTTCGCTGCAATACTTTATGAACTTAGGGAGGTGGAATTAGCCGCGATGGCTATGCCTGCTGTTCGAACCAAGATCCAGCTAGCCATAGCCTTAGGTGCTGTGGATCCAGAGTTAGAGAGGCCGAAGGGTGACTTGGGGCAGAGGATGGATCCAGCTTTGGACCAAGAACGGTCAAATCCGGCCTCGATGGATCTGGGTACATTTTCTAATGACGCGGAATCTCGGTGGATCCAGCCTTATCGTGCGCGAGGAACAGGATTGCAATAGCGCCCATCCTTCGCCACTTTGATCCAGGCCTTCAACCTACGGTGTGTATACCATGGATTGGGCGATCTCGGCAGCCGTAGTACAAGAGCATGATGGGATCTATCATCCACTCACTTTCACCAGTTGGACGCTGAAATTCAATGAGCTCAACTATGGCGTGGTCGCAAAGGCGATATTTGCGCGACGCTTCACCAGATAGTCAACTAGCTCGACATACCAATTGACCCACGAGCCCAACATGAATGCAGTAGCTCGAGTAGCCAGTAGGGCAGGGGTACGCATTTCGGTTACCCAGCCAACCTAGTCAGCAGCATGAAACCCCAATGACAGCAAGCCACGACGACCCGCCAGCCTGCAGCCGAAGCACGAACATCGCTTAACCGGCTAGCCAATCAGCTTAGTCCAAGGTGACACCCAGCCGGCAGTACAAAGACGATTAGGCCTGCCAGCACTGCGGCTACCCAACTAGCTTGGTGACTTACCAGGCTGCTAGAAACATGACAAACTAGACGCAGTGACGACGCGCCGGCAGCATGTCGACCTATCTGCTGCAGTACAACGTAGCCAGCATCAGTACATGGTCGACCAGCTACCCAAACCTCGCGATGACTAACCTGTATAGGTAGCAGTTTGATACAACATGGAAAGGAACAGAATGAAGAACTTTCAATTCAGAAAAAATGCAAAGTGGTAACGACTTTACGTCCTGCTGGTAGTGATCAATCTGGAAGCGTGAGCATGTTGATCGGTGTGATTGTGTTGTTTTTTCTTGTTCGTGTTTGGAAGGCTTGATTTCCAGTCGCAGTCGCACACACCAAATCTAGCGCCACACGCACATTTGGTATGACTGAAGCCTTGAATAAATCTTGGAAGTGGAACGCTGCAAATCATTCTACATGAAAGCCGCGTTGGCACCCCACGCACCCCCATCTAGCACGCATTTGCCGACCGCGAATGCTACAAAACATGCACTATAACCAGCCATCCGATTGGACCTTCGAGTTGGGCGTCAAAATGTGCTCGCTACAGATGACTCCTACTGTGTTGGATATACTTGCATCGTCACGTCTTCTTTTTCGCTCACGCAGCTGCTTTGTTATCGCTGCCTGCTTTTCCGTCAATTGCTGTGCAACGCGACGCTTGAACTCGCGTAGTGTTATCTTTGGTGCGTTTGCTGGTCGGACTTCGTTCAGCAGAGCAAATGCGTTTATAACGCACAGATCAAGAGCCCATGTGAAAAGGCTCATCGAGAGGTGCATCTCTTTGCGGCGTGTTGGATTTGTGGAACGAAGCTGATCGACACGATCAACGCCGTTCATTGCCATGTTGTAGGCCGCAATGATTGAAGGTGCCATGAAGACTTTCCGGTGAAGATTTTCATTCCCCGTCCAGCGCTTGATCGGGAACAATCCATGGACGCAGTCAATAGCCCTGGTGTCGTGCTGCCTCATGATAAGCTCGTCAGGCTTCCTCCGTAGATCGTTCGTATAGAACAGGACCACTTTTTTGTCTCTAAAAACAATGTAGCCCGCATTCGCAGCAAATACCATTTTACGAGGTGGGAATACTGTACGTCGATTTTTAGGAGCCGTCCGCTACTTTTTAGAGTGATCCTTCTTCCTCTGAATATATCCCGGTTCACCCTCAAGAATCGCAATGAGCTCCCAAGACCCATGCGGCTGTTCTGTAACGCGCTCAATCGAGGCCGCTACCACCTTTTTGCTCTTGCTGTCAACCTTGTTTTCGCGCATAGTACCAAGCAGTCTCGTTTCACCGTCCGTGAACATCCACAGTGTCTTCGCTAAGGCGTGTCTTGCATAGAAATTGTCTGTAACCATTAGACGGCGACCACTCGGTGACGGCAAACGTGATGCCTGATGGCCCATCATGGCGATCCACAAAGCCGAAGCACTCTTTTTGCCGACCGTGCAGTCGGGGTCAGCTAGGATGCGAGCAAGTGGCGTTCCTAGGTTAGGAAAAACTTTGGTATAGCGGGATGAAGAGGCACCCGGGGTAAGGTTGCCAGAACCATTATCCCAAATGCTATGAATGTAGAGCGATGACCATGCTACGACGGCGTAGAACCGAATCGCATATCTCTCTGGCTTAGACGGGATAAAATATTTTGCATGCGTTCGGGCCTTCTTGCGCACACTGTTTTCGTCAAGGCTGCTGGTTCCAAATGGAGTCGCAAGTTCTGCAAACTTAGTCTGCATGTGCTCCATTCAAGCTCTGCTGTGCCAAAGCGAGTCGGCCCCATCTCCCGCAGTAGCTTCGAGCGGGTGAAATTGACGCGGGCCCGGATAGTCTGGAAGCGAGTGCGGCTTAATGTTTCGAAAAAATCACGTTGGCCGAGAAAAGGCTTCTCACTCCAGAAATCTGCAATGTCGGTAAGAGGGCAAATGCTCATCGCGACCTCTAGACCTATGTACTCGTCGAATCCGATCTCGGTAGTCACTTGGTGGCCGCGCAGTGATAGCCCTTAGTTTGTCCAGCGTTGGACCGCCGCCTGAACTCCTTGCTTATGAGCAGCAAAAAAAGCCTATTTCGCGGTTGGTAGTGTAAGCTTTCTCGACATTTTTTGTGCCACGGGAGGTAAAGCCCACTCAAGCTTGCTAAGCCGTTAATGTAATTTGCCGCAACTGAACCACGATCAGCACCGTCAGCACGTATTTCTGCGGTGATGCCAGGCTCTGCGTCTTCATCACTGTCTTCGTCGGCAGTGTCATTATCAGCTATGACCTAGGTCTCGTCATCACTGACATACTTTCCCCCAACTATTGCTTCATTAAAATCTTCCACTTCGGAACTGATATCTTCTTCTTCATAACGGCTATCTCCTCCCACCTCATCACCCAACTCCAAAGATTCAATTATTCCCGTCATGCTAGCAAATTCGAAAGTGCCAGCTCTCACACTGTGCTAGCACATTATACTAGAGTAACAGAGGTGGCCTAGAAGATGCGTAATGAGCTTTAACCACCACACTCCACACTTCAATTACCATCATTTACGCTACTTTCGAAGTTCAACAAAAATGCACACTGTGACGATGGGCTGCCATGGCGGACAGGTGATCACCTGCACGCACCAGCACGAATGATGGCGACACTTTGACGATGGGCTGCCGTAGCGGACAGGTGATCACCTGCACGCACCAGCACGAATGATGGCGACACTTTGACGATGGGCGAGAGGCACAAATACATGATGATTTTGGTCGGTTTGTTGAGCTCGATTGAAGGTTTCGAAGCGCTGTAGGTACCCTTGCCCAGATCAGCGGCCTCGTTATGAGGGTAGCTGCTCGCTTGGCAGTCAGGATACACTGCAAATCTTCTCGACCCACTGGGTACCCATGATCAGGCAGGCACTGAGCTCGTACGACGGACAGCATACCGTGCTCCCAGAGCAACAACGCTAGTAAGAAACGCACCGGACCGCCATGCGCACGGACAAAGTCAGCAGTAGGTTGGGCTCTTCCGATATTGTCGTAGTTCTGCCGGTATGGTACGGAAAGCTGCAGCCACCCTCGCGGGTACTCACCCGCAACGAAGCAGATTGGCGCACATCATGGTTACCATGAGCAAGCGGGTACTGTGCCATGCAGCGTGAGCACCAACGTCAGTGTGATGACGAATTAGCCGGTCCATGAGCACTCGGGTAGTAGGGAGGACGTCGGGCTCGACATATAGTGTCGTAGCTCTGCCGATACCCCTTGATTAGGTCGGTCGTCACGGAGAGCTGCCAGCCCTCCTCGTGGCGGCAATCATTCAATTCAGCAGCTCGACGGACGGCGTGGAGGCCATGAACTGGCGAGAGAATCATGCTGGCCCGGCTGACAGCGTGCCGTCATGACGAGATTGGGCGGCGATCTTGGGTGGCTCGACATTCGGACAGCATTCCTCTTCACAGCGATCAATACCATTGTAGAGATGGAGACTAGCGGGGCCCCCTTATCGCAGCATATCCCGAGGCGTGATGATCGGCTGCCAAAGCGAAAAATGATAATCTAAACTGCGACCGCGGCGCCAATCGGTGCCGATCGGCGCGGGGGTCTGTGCTGTACTCTTTGCGACCTTTGAATCGACAAGATTTTTGGCGCCAAAATACTGGGTAATCTCATTGGCTGACAGTTAGACCACCAATAATCATCCTCAGCTCCGATTGGCTGGGCCAAATTGAAGTGGGCTTCCACGTTGAATCTCTGCATCGTGGATCCTAGCGAAGGTATTCAATCATTTTGTAAGGATCTGAAGAAGCTGTTGCACTGTAGAGTGGACTAAAGTGATTCGTACCCTCGCCACATCCACATAAACTTGATTCTTTTGTTGGCGGCTTTCAGCAATTCTGCAATAGCTTTTGAAACACTATCAAATACCGGTATATGTGGTAGTGCTCAGCTTGTAAAGCCTGCGAATGCCGTACATCTCCAGCCTTAGCAGCATTAGGCTTTAGGGCGAGCTTCGCCACTGCATCTATTGAGTGCACCTTGGTCACGGGCACGGCGACCGCCGACAGAGTGGTAGCCAACTACACTTCGTACGGTTCGGTCTCCGTCATGTCCATTGTGGACGAATACGGTAGTGCCGCGTTTAGGGCGTACTTCGCCACTGCTTACACTGAAAGCACCTTGGTCAAGAGCACGATGATCACCGACAGTGAGGTGACCAGCTACACTTCGTACGTTTCGGTCTCCGCCGTGTCCATTGCGAGCAATTACGGTAGTGTGGCCTTTAGGGCGAGCTTCACCACCGCGTACATTGAGTGTACCTTCGCTACGAGCACGGCGACCACAGACAGTGTGGTAACCATCAACAATTCGTTCGGCGTGGCCTCTGTCGTGTCCATTGCGGACGAATACGGTAGTGCGGCGTTTAGGGCGTACTTCGCCACTGCTTACACTGAAAGCACCTTGGTCAAGAGCACGATGATCACCGACAGTGAGGTGACCAGCTACACTTCGTACGGTTCGGTCTCCGCCGTGTCCATTGCGAGCAATTACGGTAGTGTGGCCTTTAGGGCGAGCTTCACCACCGCGTACATTGAGTGTACCTTCGCTACGAGCACGGCGACCACAGACAGTGTGGTAACCATCAACAATTCGTTCGGCGTGGCCTCCGTCGTGTCCATTGCGGACGAATACGGTAGTGCGGCGTATTGGGCAAGCTTCGTTCTTGCATGCATTGAGTGCACCTTGGTCACGAGCACGGAGGCCGCCAACAGTCTAATATGCATGTGCATTTCGTGTGGATTCATCTCCGTTGTGTCCATTATGAAATTAGTACCGCCTTATAGGGCGAACCTCGCCACCGCAGGTATCGAGTGCATCTCGGCCACGAGCACGGCGACGACCAACAGTCTGGTGAGTATGAACCTTTCGTACGGCTCGGTCTGCATTGGCTCCGCTGTGGATGAGTAAGAAAGCGTGGCCTTCAGGGTGAACGTCGCCACCGCACTTATCGCGTGCATCTTGGCCACGAGCACGGCGACCACCGACAGTGTGGTGAGCATCTACATGTGTTTAAAGATTTATGCGGCGGTCGACAGCTTGTTCATGGCATGCTCATAGAAGTGACGGTTTGGTGGCTCGATGCTTTATAGAAAGGTGTTAGGCCTGGTTTCTTCTAGACAGCACCATGTACCTAAGCAATTATGAACAACTCTCCTATTATTATCAGCCAATAGGACGCAAGAATTTGTCTCTGTATGAACAGTACAATGTCTGTAAAGACCATCTGATGGAGTGGTAGTGAAAGAGTTAATAGTACGGGCGTTCAACTGGCTGCCGAGTGCAGCCAAGACGCCTCAATTGGCTAAAATTCTGCCGAGCGCAGCGAGGGCGGCCGATTAACTAAAATTGCAATATGTGGTGAGCACGTTATATGTGGTCTACATACCGTACTTATAAGCACCGTTCAAATTTCATTTCGCACTCACTTGCGCTGCGTGTGTGAGAATTATGCTGCATTAGTAGATTACACCGATATGCGAACATGTACGATATGGTCTTAGAAGCTGTTTCTAAAAATTGTGGTCCCTGGCGACTCATATTTCGTTCTAAATGATCAAGTTAGTGTTTATTGCTAGAAATATGATATTGAAGAAACGTAGTACTTTTTTAAAAATAATTTTACGCACAAAATTGTTGTACTTAGTACTTTTCTAAAATTTAGAATCTAAAGTCTACTAAGAAAAATTGCTAGCAAAAATAGGAAAGATATTAAATATCTTTCATATTTCTGCTTGCAATTTTTTGTAGTAGTAGTATTAAATTAGTGTTAGATACTGTAAAACATTTGTGCATGCGGACGCACAAGATTGCATACAAATGAAAAACCTCATGCTTTGAAGCTTACCTTTTCTCTACTCCTATGCAAAATGCAAATCTTCCTGCAGATCCACTACTGCTGATCATCTGTCTCGTTAATGAACTGGTTGATGACATCGTCAGATTCGTTGACGGTCTCTTCAACCAGTTGCAGTCGCTCCAACGCTTCAACGAGTTGGTTTTCGTGCTCAGTTGCCGGACTTACCGCAAGCTGGCGTTTAAAGCCGCTTTGAATCACCGAAGCGCCGAGATCGTTCCACGCTGCCGTAGCCCAGTAGATAGCATCGTTTCTAGAGGGAGGATTAAGCTGAAATTTGCCGCCTGAATTTCCTTGACGGAATTGTTGTAGCTGCACCGACACGTGCTGAACCCAGCGCTTTCGAAGGCGTTCTTTAAGTGGTCGAAACCAGGATATATCAGCTGGTTGGCACACAGAAGTTAATCCAGGAGGAACTTTAAGAAGGTGCACATTTAGCAGCTCTGCATGCTCAAGCACTTCATCAGTCCAATGAGCCGAGAAATCATCCCAAAGCAACAGTACCGGCTGTACCTCATCTCGATTTGCGAAATGGTAGTCCAGAAAAGCGACGGATAAGCCTGAGTTCCACCACGCAGAGCTGTTGCCATAGATTTGCAGAGCAGCATCACTCTGAATTGTTTGCATTGTTTTCCACAAGGAGTCTCCAAAGCCATGTTGGGCCACGTAGTTGTAGGCCGCTTTGTCGGGGTTGCGCGAGGGCTCAGTCTTAACCACGAAAAAAGGGTCATACTGTTTTCCAGTCGAATCTGCCAGAAACATGCCTGTCAGGCGTTCCTTGTCCTTTCCACCACATCTGACCCACACTGTATTGACACCTTTTCTGTCCACCGTCTGCTTGGGCAGATACTCGAAGCAAATGCCGCTTTGGTCTGCATTGTAGAATTTATCTACACCAAGATCATTTTTTGCTTGCTCTACCTCTTGCCAAAAGTTGTTGGCAGCGTCTTCCATGGCAGCAGGGGTTTTCTGGCCTTGACGAGTTTTTGTTCTCAAAGACAAGCCATGACGAGACAGAAACCCCTGCTGCCAGCACCAACTCCCAGTGAAAACACCATCTGCTACGCCTTCGTCACGGGCAACTTCCTGAGCTTGAAGTTGAAGCATTAGACGGGACACAGGGATACCCTCACCACGTAGCGAATTAATCCACTCAACAATGCTTTCTTCTCCAGACTTGCTGATTGTTGTTGCTGTTCCTGGGGCTCTGTAAGACCTCAAATTCGCCGTAGCGGTGGAGGCAACCATGGCTTCAATGTGTGTACGCTGCTTCGACCACTCGTTGATCCGCTTGCGCTTTGATACGCGTTTTGCTGGGATGAGTTGGCAGTAAAATCTATCGAGAGTAGCATCCATGTCATCATTGTTGTCACGAAGGAAATTTATTACGTCCAGCTTTTTAGTGTAGCTCTCGCACTCGCGTTTGTAGCCGTTTGGCTTTCGCCCAGCGCCACCAGGAGCGCGGCTCCGCCCTCTTGCCATGCTGGCTCTTGCAGGCTCTGAATGTGAAAGGCTGGTTGTCTGCTTGCTAGTAGTTTCACCGCGGCTTTATCCTGTGCATAAATAGTAGAGTGGGTAAAAATAGGTAGGTCCGCATGGACAAATGCTCCATAGTAAGGTTTTTTCAAATAGCTACATCATTATGATTGGCTAATTCTGGCGTCCGGATGGACAAAAGGTCCGGATGCACAAATGTTTTACAGTATAAATACGGAAATTAGAAAAAAATTAAAAATTTAATAATAGTGACCTCCCATCCTACACCCATACACACCACTCCGCTGCCGCGAAAATAGAGCGTCTTCCTTTAGCTATAAAAATTTGTTCGTATTCGCGCGCGTAGTGTTTGAATCTAAGATAATTTGTGCACTTTCCAACACGTTACGTAGCGTACATCACACACACTGGGTGATCAAATTGACGCGGGGTCACTGAAGGACATGAAACCAAATAAGAGCAGGGAACTTGGAAGGACATTAAATTAGACCATGTACACGCTGGGAAGGAAGCGGAAGCACGGATGGGCACGAAAACAACGAAAGCCACGAACTATTCTGAAAAGGACGAACCACGGAGAGC